GCAGGACGAAGTGGGGAAGTAAACGAGGGCGAGTCTAGGTTTACGCACCCACACGCGAAAGATTTTTCGGACGACGGACTACCCAAGTCCTCGGGCCAAGGCCACTTGATACTTCACGAAGCGGAAAACATCCTGCCCGGCCGAAAATCTCCCGGGCTGTGCGCATGAGCATGAGCAGTTCAGGCACGATTCTCTCCACAATCCTTCCGTGTGGAACTTTTTCATTCAATTTCACAGTGACGCATTTGGGTGACTCCGTTCCTTGAAGGATATCGTATATCCCCGATTAATGGTTGAAAAAATATAGAAATGCTTTACTTTAAAATATTATATTCCCTGAAAATTCTGTGTAAAACCGTGGGCGAAGCTTATACGGTACTCGAGGAACATACTCGCTGTACTTCTGTTGAATACTGTAGTTACGAGCTGTGCTCGGTATGATCTATCATATAGTGTACTTTAAAATATGGGAATTCTTGTTTTTCCATAAAATGATAAAGCAAAATACTGTATCGAAACTCTTTATCCTACTGTACTAGGATGTTTCAACAGTCTCTTGTTTTCGCCACGCCCTAATCTTCAAACGTCTTTTTCATCTCGTGCTGTGTTCTTCGAGGGAAATCATTTGGTTTTGACCATACATTCGCCACATTTTTCGCTTGAAATTTCCAGTTTTATCCATCTTATACTGTTCTTCCTTCCTCGAATCATTAACCAAACTCGGGACTATTCTAATCGTACCCAACCGATATCGCGTAATTAATGCATGAAACTAAGTTTCTGCAATGTTTTCGTACCAAATCTTGTGGAAAGTTATGATTAAAGTACTCTTTTGCTAAGCATGGAACTTTTTCAGATGCCGATAATTTGAGAGCTGTGCAACTGTGGTTTGTTGAAAGCCTTTGCAAGTTTATATTCCGATCGAATGCATCGAATGAAACTAAATCACACGTGGCAATGCTATCTTAAAATAAAAAAAAAAAAACCTGGATCACCCACTCTTTCTGAAGTGTGGTAGTGAGGGAAGCATCTAATGATTAATTGGGATCGAGGTCAGGACACAAAAACAACCTCTTCAGTACGTCTAATCTGGCAACCGTGTTTCATGGCCCAATGCCTATGTTCAAATAATGCGAAATGCTACAAATTCTGAAAACAGAAGCCTCGTCGTACGGATTTTTCTTAAATGCTCGAAATTTTCACTAGGTGTATTTTATACGAGTTATGCTGGTACTTCTCCGCTGCCTTGGGGAAACGAAGTTTAAGAGTGCGAGACGCACGAGACATCAGTCAATCGGTGGATATAGTATTGAGTCTGACAAATGCACAAAACCCACATTCGATTCATCCGATTTGATCATTTCTTTGATGAGCTGATCAACATATTCCGTCGCATCTGGGTTGCGGGGGAATTTTCGGATTATCTACCTTGTCGAACCAGCATTTCCTACGATTATCACGATGGCGTTTTTTCGGGGCATGTGCTGGAGTCTCTTTGCCCTCGGGTTATTGTCAGGGGCTATGGTTGTTAAAAGGTGCCTTGTTTTCCTTGTCTTCGACTCGCTGAACATTGCCATGCAATTAATAACTTGTCGCCGACGGGCGAACGAAAAGGTCAGGGCATTTTTACAAATGCGTTGTGCTTGTTAGCAAGCTTGCGCTAATTGCAGAACGTTGTCACAACAACACAGCCGCAAAGGAAAACACACCGCCACCGGAAACCTCGAAGATTTTTTACCGTTGTGTTTATTGTCGCTTTTATTTATTTTTTTCAACTTGCGAACCTCCTACACGTATACAGCTACTTTACCTGAAAAGAAACCCCGGAAATACAGTAGGACTTTCGAGACTCATGCTCCAAATTTTGAACCCGAAGAATTCTTGACTACCCAACTCGAGTCACTGACTAGACTCTTCGTTACACCATTTACGGTAATTTTTTGGTAGTTCTTTAATCGACGTTGTCTGGAAGATATGATATGTTCAAGGTTCAAATGGAGGTCGTTTTCCAAGAAAACCCCGTAGATACAAATTGAACCTATATTTTGAAAATTCAAAATATGTGACACCTATTGATCAAAATAATTTAAAATGATTATTTTCTTGAAGGTGCAGAATGTGCAGTTTTACTGCCTATTTTTGTTGTAAAACGTCACATTCCTTTCCATCATATATTTCGAAGAATCCTTGAATAGTGCTGAACTGCTGTACTCGTTTTCCTGAAAGAAATTTTCACTTACTGATAATGCACATTTTGTTTTTAAAAAACAATTGAAATCAATCCAAGAATTGTGAGTTATCATGTGGTTAATTCAGAATTCCTGTCACATTTCTGCATCTGGTAGATTTCCATTCCAGTGGAATTTTTGGGCATGCTGGGGTTTCTCTCGTGTTTTTTCCTCTCTTGTCCGCTAAATTTACGCGGGCTTGGAGTGGTGTAGGAGAAATATGCTCATAGTTTTCGACGATTCTTTGTTTTTTATTTTTCGGAAGAAACCGTCCGGCCATCCACTCACAAAATCGAGGTTCTGAAGCATTCCACCAGCTTCAATTCGAAGTCATATGATTCGAACCTGAGTTTCTTCACCACCGCGGATTTTCCTCGATTCCACCGTAACGTCTCAAACTGGAATAAGTGCGAGTATGCCAGTTCATCCCATCTGCGCTCCGTGCTACATTAATCATGCAGGATGCCCCGCATTTGAAAAGGCTTCCGGATGTTGACCCTTCTACATTTCAGATGTTTCTGCTCTACAGGGATCTCCTGGGATTGAAGGCGTGGGATTCTAAGCCTCATTCTGCTTTTACATTCACGCGTATGATGTCTAGTAAATCTCGACGACGTAGTGAAGTGCATAACTTTCGTGCTCGTACATTTTATGGAGATGACGAAACCGAGAGGCGCGGAGCCTGGGAAACTTTCGGGTCTCCCAGTGAGGAAAATAAAAATCAGTATCCTTGAACGCGGTCGTCCGACGCAAAAATGTGAACTGCGTCAGTCCCCTTTTCGTACTTCCAAAGAAAATACTGTAATGTCTGAAAATAAATTGGTCGAAGGATAAAGACATGAATTATATGACGGAATTTGCAACGAAACTCGCGGCTGTGAAGAATGAGTTATTTCTCCCGTGAACTTGAGCTGATCGACCGGCATATGAATTACCGTATATTCAAGTCACGAACTTCAGCAGGGAAGTACGTGACCCATTCTCTTATTCCAGATGAAGTGCATTGATTGCAATGAAATGCACCGAAGGTGTCATGCTTACCAATGCCATGACCAAAACAGTGCGCCTGTATTCAGGATTCGGTTCAGCACCCCCAATCATGGCAGGCGTGAGCGTGCGGCGAGAAATGAACGACCAATCAACTGAAGTGATGAAATTGAAGAAGTACTTAATTTTCTGTAGATCTTAGATCTTGACGAATGTGAATGGAATATTCAGTTATATAGATTACATGTACGGTGTATATATTTATACAGTATATTATATACAGTACCTGACCGTATTAGTTGTTTTGAGGAAAATATAAATTGAGGATTCTTACTGCTTTTTTTCAATTCCTTTTCTAGAGCGTACTGCTCCCCTTTTTCTGATTCATTCAGCGTTCAGGACCAGGCAGGATTTGAGTACCAAATACCACCAGCGACTTCAACTCAATTTAGGGACATACGAATATAGTACATTTTTTTCAGCGTTCAGGACCAGGCAGGATTTGAGTACCAAATACCACCAGCGACTTCAACTCAATTTAGGGATAGTACGAATGTAGTACATTTTTTTCGTATAATGTCCGCAAAACATTCACTTGACATTCGGCTTTCCAGAAACTACCTATTTTTTTTTTACTTTAACCTGTTTACGGAGCTGTCTGCCTCTTAATACAGTATTTCTTATGTCTAACTTCTGTCCCACACGTTCATGTACAATATTACCAATTTTTTCCGAATTCATTCACTGTGTGCTGTTCATATAAAAACCCAATTGAATCCTTTGAAACTCCTGCCTACTCAAAATGGCATCTGTGCTACGAGTATCCCTGGCTGAAAATCGTGGTTCTCAGGTATTGCTGTTCACCTCGCGGTCGACAGAATATTTCGCGTTATAACGCCTTTCTGCGTTAAAAGTGAATTTAGCCTCGAACTATCCTAATAATGCACAGGACCGCCACCTACTCCTTTAAAATCTTAATTCTACATTGTTTTGCTTTGTGAGAACGCGTCCAAACTCCACATATACTTAGCTTATTGTACTGTACTGCCTACAAGTTGATCATCGATGCTGTTGGAATCTCGCTTTTCAGCGCCGATGTCGAGCAGATGTTCGCAGCCCTGTATAGCCAGTAAGAAATGCATTTTAGATGCATCATGACTTGGCAAAATTGTTATCTTTAGACCCTATAGCATCCGGATATTCCTTTCGGAAGTTCAATTCGGATCAAGAGCGTGGGCGGATTTCCTTCGTTGGATCAGAATTCCATCTATGATGAGATATAAGAGTACATGTCCGGTGTATATACAGTACCGTACAGTGGCCCCCGCCTAACAGACCTCCCGTGTAAGGGATTTTCGCCGTACAGTATTTATATTTATATTTAAATGCAGTACTTGACGTATTAGTTGTTTTGAGGAAAAATGTCAGATGGACTTGCAAGCTTAAGAGTCCTGCAAAGTTTTTTCATGTATTTACATCAGTCTAAGCGGATTTTCATAGAAGTTTTTTTTTGTTTTTGTTTTGCGAACTACGGATTTTCAAATCCGTCGTACGCCTGACCGTTGGGAATTCCCGTAAGCTGCTTAACGTTGCGCATGAGTATCGTTTTAATGCCTCGAAGATAAGTTGAGCCTTGTGTCCAAGAAATTGTGATGAGTATCGAAAATCCACCCTAATGCGACTACGGAGAAGTCTGGCGCGGAAGTGACTTCGGAGGAACTTGAAGAGCTTCCCAGCCGTGCGAACGTCTGGCAGGTTTAGTCGTGTTTTGACGCATAGGACTCAATTTCCACAGTTGCTCTGAGTTTGCGCAGAAATGCCACGAGGACTGAGCTGGACGCGTGGTTTGTCTCTCGCCTGTTAATCGATCGATGAAATCCAGCATCGCGCGGGGGAAATCATGACTCGGGTTAAATGCTCGCCCCGGTCCGGAGGTGTTGTGATGTGAGACCTGAACCGGCGGTACATGTGTGTTTCGAGGAACAGTCGCGACTCCTGTCGACCGCTTGGTGGCGTCGAACTCTCTGACGGAGTAAAATGTTGGTCAGTTCGCCGGCTGCGGCTTTGCACACGCCGCTGTTTGACAACAGCAAGTCGTGGAAAGTCGGCGACCAGGAGCCCAGCCTGAGTCTGTCCTTCCATCACGCCATGCCGGTCGTCATGACGAACGTCGTGGACACCGCCATACCGCCGTGCAAGAGCGATGCGGGAGACGGGGCCTCGCTCAAGAGCCTGGAAAACGTGTCGGGGAACTTGTCTTGTAGAGGCGGCGACGAGTCGCCGTCGCTCATGGCGTCGATTCTGCAGGAGCTGGACAAGAAACGGAAAGCTGAAGCTGCTGTGGCTGAACAGTCGCAGCCGAGCCCCGGCAAGAAGAGCTCTTTGTCCTCTCCGAATCAGGAAGCTGACAAAACCAACGCTACTTCCGGACAACAGCCGAAGCATCACGCTTTGAAGAGGTTAGTGTTTCTTCTTATAAGGCCCGCATCTGTGCGGAAAAATCTCCGGAGTTGACGATCACCGAACTCCCCTCCGCGCGGTGCGCTCTTCCTCGAAATACGCGCACTTAATTGCTGATGGTTCTCCTACGTTCGTACTGTACATCAATCAGAGCGTACTTCTGCAATACATAGATGATACGCTTTGCCTCGTGAAATTAAGGGGAAATACGTAGCAATTGCGTCGCATGGAGCGCTGTTTGTGGCCCATATTAAAATGTACGATAGTTAAGAATCATGTCGTTGCTCGCCATGAAAATCGATTCGCTTTCGTTCGTTACGTAGGAAAACAATACCGTAGTGTTAGGCATACAGTATTAATTTTTCAACTCTTTTTGGATCAATTTGAAAGCCGAAGAAAATGCTGTATACTGCATTTACGTTCATATGGACCGAATCCGGATCTTCGGGTAATTTATACGCAAACCATGGAGATTTTGACAGAAAAAGCGGCATATACTGTACTGCGAAAAAGCCTGCAATTTCTCTGAGGTCTTTCCACTATTTTTCAGATGCCATTTGCGATCGCAATTTGACTTCAACTGGAATACAGTATTTTTATGAAACTGACACAAGGATGCGGTCTTCATTCAAAAAAAAAAAAAAAAGAAGAAAAAAGAGGACTAACTCGAAGAAGCGTGGCTCACAATCTAGTGAATTCCGTATTCCTGCTGTCGAGCTACGTTTAGGAAATATTTTTAAAATCGTTCAACCGCCGCAATGTTTTTTCAAAGAAACTCTTTCGTCGTTGGCTTTGCGGTGACGCATGAAATTTAAAGCTTTAACTGAGCGTTACCGTTGACTACCTCTGTTGCTCCCCGTCGAAAAGCAAAGATGCGAAGGTTCGAGAATTTTCGCCCAAACAGAAGGTGCGAATCAAATCTCGGCACGTGTTGAAGTCAAAGGATTTTATAATTGCTCGGAGCCGAAGAAGCAGTCGGAAGGTGCGGAAGACCGGCTTTCGTCGAACCCTCACCGGCGAACTGTTGTCACGCGGAGAGAGAGGCTCGGGAGAGCGCGTGGCCCCACCTGCGTCAGTCGGGTGATGGCTTTAGATTTCGCTTATCGCCTCGGTTCCCGGTCCTTATTTCTTCGCCGTCTCGGAACCTTGACTTCGAGGGAAGTACCGGGTCCCGACAAAGTACTGCCGAGAGATTTTACGGAGGCAGATGAAAAAAGAGGCCAGGCTCGGCCTCCGTAACCATGTGCACGAGGTCCACGCTAGAGCGAAGCTTTGTGCGCACAGATATTGAAATATTCATAAGCGCTTGTCATGCTGAGGCATGACTTGCAGTACTACCTTGCTTAAATCCTGCGCTCTGGGAAGTGTTCTGGTCTGATAGCAGAATAATCCGTTCAGGCGAACTTGTCGCCTCGTCTCCGGGACGCGTGACAAAAGCCCTAGAATGAAGCATTTCTTCATTCCTCGCACGTATCAGTCGCCAGATTATTGTGGTACAGCATTATTATGATTTCGGAATACAGTGAGTTACATAAAGCAGGATATTCTCGGATTCTGCTTGGTGTAAATAACTTCAAAATAACCTAAGTCGCTCGAAGAAGCCACGTTTTAGGACGATGCTATTCCCTTGGGCAGGGGCCGCTCATGAAAGCGATCTCACGTATACGAGGATGCTTTTTGAGTTTAGATAATAAATGTCTACCTAGGTTCGTGTTCATGAAGAAACACGGCACAGTACTGATGACTGTGAACTGGGGACGAGCTTCTCGTGAGGAAGCCGCATTTTATTGAATGTAGGAATCTTCGAGTTTAAGGAGTAACTTCCCAAATCGAAAATGTATGCTTTGGAATCTAACACGCACTCGTAGTGCTGTTCATTTGAATCGCACGGTTCTATTGATGACTGATCTAGAGCCAGAGCCCTGTCGCAAAAAACCTCAAGCTCCGCAAAAATGTAATGCTGGTCGAACACGCAAAAACTTCAAAATTTGAAGGGAGATCATGGAGTAAAATTTCTTGGAGGTATGCTGATCCAATATGTTTTCTTAATTCATGGTAGCATTGCTACTGCGTGTTATGTCACGCATTTTTATATCCCCCAAGAAATTAATTACTGTATCTTTACAGCGAGGCTTTGTCGAGAATCAATTCGATACTTTTTTAATTAAAAAGTTTTGAGAAGGTTGCAAGTGATTATGCCCATGCGAATCTCAGGATGCTCGAAATGTCTTTAAATTTAGGACGGTGTATTACTCAATTTGAGGCACCACGTATAAAACGTCATCAACGTATGACACCTTCTAATTAGGTGCATGTAGATTTTTCTGAGCTGATGTCCGTGGAAGAAAAAGCCCGTCTTATATTCAAGCAAATTCAGTCTTCACTAGCTGTAGTCAGTAGTGACCGCATGCGGGATTCTGAGATATAATCACAAAATTGTATTTCCCTAAGGCGCCCTCGGATCGAAAGGTTACGAACATTATGGTGTTATTTATTTTTCATTTTCCCTCCCTTTATTTATTTTCGCTGTAATTTCGGGATTTTTCTGGCGATGTGCGTCTTCTACCCCCCTCTGGCCAGAATTGTCCCGCGAGCTTATAACGTATATTCTGACTCACGAGTCATGACTTCGCCCAAATTATGTCGCGGTTTTGCTTGAACACTGCATTTTGAAATACTGTACGTCAAGGTTTCGTGGGTAAGGGGATGGTCCTCGATTGGAAGAATCCCTGTTGCGAAGTTGATTGGTACTCCGTCGGAGATCCACATTTATGGACCTAATGATCGTCTACTTCCGAAGAAGGGACCGTGAACACATTTTCCTTGAAGAAAGTGCCCATTATTCACGATAGCACGAAATTTTATTTACTTCGTGGTTTGATAATTTTTATTTTAGAGAAAACGTAGTTTTAGAGCATCTTTATGATCAAGTTGACAACAAAACCGAGTGCTTTTAAAATTGTCGAGCATTTTCTAGATAATATTCTAGGAATTTTAAATTACTTTACCTTGTTTATGTAGTTCTATGTACCCTACGTTAACCTCATTCTTGTGCTTGAACAATAAAATTCGGAACAGGCTAACCTGTTGAAAAATAGGAACAACCCTCTGAATTGTCGACAGCGATTTCCTTCGGAGCGTATTCAATTCCAGAGCAAATTCCGACTTTGAGCCTAGAGCTGCTGCCCGCCGCTGACCCATTTAAAACTTCGATCGACACATTGTTTGAGGCGCCTTCCAGAAGTTTTATTGAAAACAAAGTTATTACAGAAAAAATCGCCACCCCAGACAGGATACGCGTCACTGCGGCGCCACATAGGGAAAAAAAACAGGAATGACGTTTTTGGTTTTGTCTCTTCAACATGCTATACTTGTTCCTCATTTAAAAAGTCCTTTGTGAAAACCCGAACTATTTTCAGAGAAGGAGAGGCTGCCGAACTTTTCAAGAGTGCGATACAACGCAGTTCAATAAATACTTTTTTTCCCTCTACATCCTGGAATTAATGAGTTACCTATTTATGTTTTCGGAGTAGCGTTCCGCTGAAGTCTCCTTAACTTTTTTTTTTTTTTTTTTTTGGCGCGAGATTATATTAGTATTTCTTAATTTTTTTTTTTTTTTTTTTTTTTTTTTTTGGCGCGAGATTATATTAGTACTGGTAGCATTATCTTTGCTTCACAGCTCGCCAAGCTGCGTATTTTACACTACTCCGATTTACTTTTTCTGTCTTCCGCTAGGGACAATGAGCGAGGAATTTGAGAAGCGTTCCTTTCGGGCTTCTGATCTAGCATTAGAAAATAACAATGTCTTTATCGTAAATCCAAATTAATGGTTTAATTTTATGGGTATTCCGAACCTGATTATGTTGGTGCATTTCGAAAAATCTATGTTGTAAATATATTTTTCCAGAATGATTCATAGTTCGGACATGGTTTTTAGCTCGTCAGGTGTTGAGAGGTTGCTCTGGACGAAAACTCGGCGGTTCCTTAGGTCGTAGAAGATTTAAGCTGCCCCATGGAGGTGTAATCTTGAGCCGGGTGCCACGGCATGGGAGGTCACTGTCTGTGTACTTCTCGGGTCTCTCGTCCATCAGTCTTCGAGCGGTCGCGATTCCGAGCTACCTTGTGCCCCCTCGTCTTTCATCCATCACCGTTCACAGTGTATCTTTTGTCGCTTTCTCCTGAATAAAATGAAGTCTAGTGTATACTGCGGTCAGGGACCCTGGCCGCACTGCGCATCAACACGTAAACATCACTGCAAATAACAAGGCACGACTCAGGGAGGATGTTGTTCAGTGTCGGAATTTTTCGCACCTTTGATTATTGAGTGTGGAACACTTGCAGGCCAATTTATCAGTCAATTTCCCGTGACGTCATCGCTTTTGCGGTCCTTCTTTCGCTTGTGGTTTTAGAATGTTGTACCTTCCGAATTGGCAGTAGTGATGAACTTTTTTGTGTGCAGGGAGGATGGATGATAAGAGGACTGTACACTTTCTTCATGCTTTAAACTGCATTAATATCTCACGATGAACCTTTTTTTTAAATCCTGAACCTTGGATTGGAATTGCACTACGCAAATACCCTAAGCTTCAATAGAATTTTAGACTCGATTACCATCATTTATTACTCTGTGTATTATTTACTTTCGTTAAAAATATTCTGATAAAATTATATCATTTCACCACCAACACTCGGCTAGCAAAAAAGCGTGAAATGATTTTTGAAGCTCATTTAATCTAATTGTAAGGCTGAAAATCTTGAACGATGCAACGGAACATTGGTTCTTTGATTTTTGTTTCAAAATTGAAATACAATTTTAGGAGCGAGAACTTTAGGACGTTGTCGTGAATTTTTGTGGCAAAGAAGTGCCACATTAGAAATACTGCACCTCTATCTGTTGCCAGCTTGTGTATGGTTTTGGATTTCATTTTGCAAGAATGACGGGTATCTTTTCTTTGTTTATCCGGGTGGAAGACAGTCTAGACATTTTTGATGTTATACT